TCATTTGAAATCATACGCTTTAATTTTAAGATTATTTATAAGAAGATTAGCAATTTATACTTTTGCAAAGTAGCTGAATTTGCTGTATTTTTAGTGTATTTTCGCTAAAAATCAGGGGTGCGCACAGAATTTTGGCAACCACTGGTGGACCTCCCACCATGCTTACTAAGCATAATCTGGACCATTACATATACTCCCCTATAGTATAGTCCTTACCTTCCTACTTTAGCCTGTTAAGAAAATAACGGATTGCACCTAAAACTACGTCTATTATGCTCTATATACTAGTGCTACTCTATTTCGCATATCTCTACTCGTAATAGAAGGAAATGTTCTCAAGTATATACTCCTCGCTCTCTCTCATTTACTTACTAATCTTGAATTTTCTAATCAAATCACCAAATTGAGCAATGGAAAGGCTTTTAAAATCCAATAAGTTATTAAAAAGTCGACGGCGTTGGCGAATCTTCCTCGCGTTAGTTGCATTTGAATTTTTGAAGGCACATTAATGAATTTAAGATGTGCTGAAAGATCAAGACGTCAATTCTTCACACCAACTTTCCCAACTTTCCTCAAGCCGTAGTATACTCCAATCAATACAAACACATTCGACACTACGCAGGCCCAAAAGCTCGCTCTATAACCACTCATCAGAGCATCGATGGGGTCCTTGGGGTGATTACCCCCTGAGTCGGCTTTCGTCACACTCGTGGCAATCACAGCCGCAACAGCCAGGCCAACACTGTTTCCTATATTGCTGACAGTGTTGAAAACCCCGCCGGCAAGCCCATGGTCATCCGGAAACAGCGAAACAGTTAATAGATTAGCGACCGTGAAAAGTACATCGGCACAGATCGGGATACAAATAAGGGCGAAAAAGCTGCCTCGCCAGTACGACCACGTTGGGTTAATGGTGGCCATGAGAATAGGGCATGTAACGGTGATTATTGCGGAGCATAAGACCAAAATGGCTGCAGGTACGTACTTAACGAGCCATCCGGTCAGCAAGCTCATCCCAAGACCTATAACAGCCTGTGGGAGAAAACGGAGTGACGTTTGGATCGCAGATAACCCTTGGATCAGTTGGAAGTACAAGGATATGAAGTATTGAGTAGCGTTAAAGCATCCCCAAACGATGAAAACGATGAAACAGAGCGTTGCAAAGACTTTATTTCCCCATAACGATGGTGGAATGATAGCTTTCTGACCAAGACGGTCTTGTTTGCGGACCCATAAAATGAATGCTGGGATGATAAGGATGGCGACAACAGTCAACGAGAGACATATCGGTGTGACAAAGTTGTGAGTATCGCTAGCGAGAACCGAGAACAGGTATAGAAATATCCCGTTGCAGGCGCTCAAAAGTAGGCAGCCAATCCAATCAATGTCCCTCCTTATGCGGGACAATATTGTCGAAATTGGCTGAGATTCGGCAGCGTCCGGTGGAAGTGCAAATATGGCGCTCAGAAAGATGACGAAGATGAGACCGCCTGCAAAATAATATCCGTATCTCCAGGTACGTTCCTGAATAAAGAGCCCCCCAATGATCAAGCCAAACCCGAACCCAACAGGCTGCCCAGCACCGAGACAAGCAAACGCTATGTTATGATGTTCACTATGCGGGATGTTGCTGGTGATCAACAGGACCGAGGAGGGAAGACATAAGGCCATTGCCAAGCCCTGTGCTGTTCGAAAGAGGATGAGGTCGATGGCGTTCCGGGAGAGGCCGCAGGTGATGGTGGTGCCAGTGAGAAGGAACATTCCGAGAAGATATGTCCTCCTCCCTCCGACCACATCTGAAATGGACCCAAAAGCAAGCAGAGTGCATCCACAAGAGAGACTACTTACAGCAGGAGGCCAAAGAACTGCGAAGAAAGAGGGGTTAGCTTGGGGGATGCAATCAAGAAGTCCTAACAGGGATTTAGGCATCCTTCGCTCAGGAATAGAAACCTTCACCTACGTAAGCTGTTGGGAAGGTCAATGTCTCGTGCGATAGTGGGGAGGCTGACAGTCATAAGGCCTGAAAGTATTGAATTGACGAAGGTGATGCAGGCGACAGTAGCTACCTAGGATTTCTCGTGTCAGCATCCTAAATTGAGATGTCCAAGACATGTAAATTAGAAGGGAATGGTAGGGACTCATGTGTGGCATGAGGATTGAAGCTTCTAAGGGACTCACAATGAGATAAATCCTGTGTTTTGAGATAGGTCTCTCGGGAAGCTCTTCTTGAGGTTCTAGTTGCTCTTCAATATCTGTTTCCTCTTGCGATTCTGTTTGCGTGGAGGGTGGCCCGGTCGAAGGTCGCATCTCCAAGACGATCGAAACCCGGCGCCCGTGTGTCCATTGCATAGGTATAGACATGTTTGAAGCTTGTTGAAGTGGTATCCGACATTTCCTAGTGCAAAAATGCGTTGAGATTGCTCAACTCGTGGGTGGAGATGTCGAAGTCGGGTTGAGCTTCATATGTGGTTGATGATTGAAAGTCGCGCTAGAGAGAAAGGAAAAGAAGATTCTTCAAGCTCAGTATGGTCAATGACGTGGTGAATGGGAAAGTGCCATGATGGAATTGATGGAATTGGACAGGGTTTACCACCATCCTCTTAGGGAAGGACCTATCAGTTATACCCATACATACCAGCTCGAGAAACTTGTAACTTGTCTAAGTCAAGCAAAATATATCCAAATAGCAATTCATTAGTTTTAAGGCAAACTTATACTTTAACAAGCATTGAAAAAATCCTTGAAAAGCAACATATATGTACAAACAACGCCCAAGGCTTGCATGCCGGAAATGCATTAAACTTTCAAACACGGTGTTTTGAATTGATACAGCAAACTCTGAGAACGAAGTGCTTTACATCAACATGGTAAACAACGGCAATATAAGGAGATACACTCATATTTTCTAGAAACTAAGGCCGAGGCGCTATTACCATCCTTGGCTTGGTGACTTGACGCATTATTGGTCGAGAATGGAGTTTGCATAGCAAGCATCACGCAAAACCTTCAAACCACAGAACAAACAGGGTGTTTGTTCATGCAACAGTTAGTATTCAGAGCATTGTCTTACGAGACTTGGAATTGAGAGTAGAAGCTGAGTCGAGGAGGTTGATTGGCGTGGATTGTCACGTGGGTGGTAACAAGTATAATGGTTAAAGTGGAATTTGATAGAATGAATTGAAGCTTGAGAGGAACATAACACAGACTTGTTGGTATAGGAATTGTAAATGGTGTAAATATAGGGTCAAAGCGGGAAGAAATAGAGAAGAAGGATTGTGAAGTCGAGCGAAGACGGGGTTTATCGCTCACAGCAGTCTAGCGGCGAATTCAAAATCAACGACACTTCGGAACTTGCCGGGGGGCAGTGCACCTCACGAGAGCAATATCAAGATATATGGACTCTCTCGCGCCTTTTAGATATATGAATGATCCAGTTACATGTCTGACTTTAGCTTGGTGAATTCCACCAAAGCAAAACCCCGTGAATGAAACCCCCGCTCGCTCACCTTCCTTCCCTGGTTTACGGAGGTATCTCCGTGTCAGCCCTTGTACATCGTCAATATGCGGCATCAAGGACTTTTTAATCAATAACTTTTATTGGACTATCTAATTCTGTACATTTTGTGCTCATGAAGACTAAGGAATTATGACCCCCGTTCCTAGAACTCCGAAGAGTGATCCGCCCAGCGATACCAAATCGGTCACAGAACATATGGGGACAGAAAGCGTCGGAGTACAAGTTACTCTGAGGGTTGTTCCATACAACCGCCAAGGATATTTACCCCAGTATTCTTCCATCCAGAGGAAGTATCAATCCGCCGGTCCAAGCATGTGAGGCGGGTCAAGGACAAAAACAAAAGACAATAACATGAGGTGGCTCACTCCCATTCCCTGTTTATGGGTGCTTTGAAGAGGTGTATGGAACCGGAGTACGCTTTTCTGTGGCCATATAAGATGGAAGAGGCAGCAGCTAGGGAAGTTCGAGGTTGAATGAATGGTCCGAGACGCAGCTTTACACCAAGAGCACTTCAGTGGCCCATGGAAAAGGAAATTCAATAGATGGCAGGTGGAATGGCGAGAGTATGCGATTATAAAACATCGAGTCAGGAGCTGATGGCCACAGGAGGACGGCAGACAATTGACAAAGAGCGAGTGTGCAATGTAAAATATTTGGTCAGAATCACACACTTCACACACCTCGCTGTGGGCCGCCAACGCTTCATCTCTGCTAGCACCCAGCTATTAGGCAGGGATAGGGCGCGCGCCCGTCTGGCTGCTAGCAGGTCTCCGGCCCTCATCTTCGTCGTCGGAAGAGTCCTCGAGGTGGGCGTCGAAATTACGTCCGTGACCACGAGGTGCCTTCCTGGTTTCCTCATCCTCTTCTTCCTCATCGTCCTCCTCGTCCTGGTCGCCAGCGTCACCATCGTCCGAGGTATCGGAGTGATAAAGATCGTTATCCATATCACCGAGGACATCCGGATTCACATACCCCTCGGTGTAGTCTTCCTCGGCTTCGCTACCTAGCAGGTTAGCTGTAGGCAATACCGGGTCTACCGAGGCTTTTTGGTCCTCATTGGCAATTCCAGCTCGCGGGCTCGACTTGCTGACATACTCGCTGCCCCCCTTCCAGCGCTGGCTTGCGAGTATACTGCATATGCAGTTCTCCGACCCAAAACGTGAGCTATCTTGACAATGCTACCCTTGGACATCTTACCGTTGGTGTTCCTCCCCGAGGGAGTCCGCTCGCCAACACGAATTTCCACACCCTCGAAGGTTCGGTTGTGCTCTTCGGTGATATCTTCGAAGTCCTTCAATTGGAGCAAATCGCCCTTCTCCTCATGTCGAGCCCTCATTAGGGACTGAATGGAAGCTTGCTCGCGCTCAGTCCAATGAGGGCGTGTTGTCTTCAGGATTGTCAGGTCTAAGGAGCCAAGTCGTCGGTCTATAAGCTGCTTGCGCCACTTATGAACTCCAGCGATGTGCTTCTTATCATTCCAGTCCATATTTTTCCGATGAGGCCACCTATATGTGAACTTATTCCCCTTGATATCGACCATTGGAAGCGTCATATCACGACGTCGTCCTTGCACCCCCAAGATACAGGGATTGGTGGTTGGGATATGCCGATTGTCCTTCCAATTGAACAAAGTACCCGGGGGAGTGTATGGCGTGTGCTTCTTAGCATTCTATAAAAGTATTAGCAAAAGTTTTTTATCTCCAATGAAGCTCTCTATTGAATGGACTGGAATATGAGCAATTACCTCGGCAACTCGCTTCTTACTGCTCGTCTTGGGTGCCTTTGCACCATTTCTACCAGTAGCCGGTGTCAATGAAGAAGTATTGCGCTTCTTGAAGTTCTCTGAAGGGCTACTGCTATAAGCAGTGTTTTGTGTCACAGAAGTAGCTGTATTCTGGGGCAAGTTGGAAGCTGCTCGGCCTTGATTGCCGCGTCCAAATGGAGTTGATAGCCTTGAAGATATTAGTCTAATAATATCACATGAGGGAAAGGCTTTGGATGAACTTACGCTTGTCCATTTCGACGACGAGTTGAAGGCAATCCGCTTGCGATGTATTGATGGATAGTCGGGACTTGGTGGCTAGCTCGGTTTGTTTGGCTGGGCGCGTTGGGAGACTCTTTGCTGTGTCTGTGACCAGTCGGAGAGTTTCCATCCTCGCCCATACCAGGTTCCTTTCCCGTACGCGTCATCTTGATCTGTTATCACTCAAATTAGCAGTTGTGTCTTTTCTTGGTCTTTCTCTTTATTTCTTGCGCCACCCTGTCACAACACAAAAGGCAAAGAGCACTAAAGCAGTTTGGAGGAACGATCTATCACCAACTGGCTTTGGAATGGACGAGCTTCAAGCTGTGATCTCTCCTGGAAGAAATGATTCAAAACCACAGAGCACTCTTCACCACTTGGCATCGAAGCATCTAGCAGGTGATACTTTACTAAAGAGAGTCCCATTGACGAAAGGACTGAGGCCTCGGAGTACTTTCAAGGTGCTCTTATCCAAGGAGTAAAAGTAATTGAAACGGGAAAGGCACCTACCACTGCTTGTAGATTCTTTGCAGAGTGTGGAATAAGTCAAGTGCTTTTAGGAGAACCCCTCGTTTTTTCGGTGTTGAGTTATTCCGGCAACGTTGTCGTTTTTTAGGGGAGAGGATGTATCGTGACAATATGCACCGAGAAGCAATTGTATTAGCTTGCAGATAGTAGATCGGTCTTTCGCAGTAGTGGAATCACTCGCTATTTGTACGTCAGTATAGATTCACTTTAGTAAAAGTGGGGCCCGAGGCTTAGAGAGAGCTGAGAGGGAAGCAGAGAAAAAAGAAGGTACATACCCGCTTCAAGTTGACTGATTTTTGTACTTAGAAAGACTTGGCGAGTGGGTGAAAAACAGAGCTATCGACGTAGTCGTCGAGGAAGCTTGTTGATGGGTATTGTAAAGAAATGGCGCTCGCTTTTGCTCTCGAGAAGGGCTTTGGTTGAGGTCAATGGCTTCCTGGAACTCTTGTCAGTTCGTGCCTTTATGCTTGCCAGTTTGTAAGGTGGGTGTCGGGAGTTGAGCCTTCCACTTCCTTCGAGGCTTGTCTGGACGGGGCTTGAATAATGTCTTAGAGTGAACGAGACATCCAGAGAGGTTACCGTCAAACACAGCTCGAGAGCCAGGGTAGACCGACTGGCACTTTCGTCATAGTCTGCGCTCAATTGTGACAAAAGATTGATCGAGGCAGGCTTTTGGGAGCAGTAGCCGCAAGGAGATGAAGTGAAGCTGTGCAGGAGAGAGTGGTTGCAACTTACCTTTTTGAGAATTGATTTTCTTCCCTTTGTCTCTTGTGGTGTCGTGAAGAAGGATTGTCGAGAGACCTGATACTCGTCTCGTTCAGGACAGCGCTCTCGCCGCAAAGAGCTCCTGGGCGGTATTTCGAGACGCGTCAATTGTTAAAAGGTGTCGCAAGAGAGACGAGGATGTCCGCGCTGGTGAAAGAGAGGTAACGAAGAACAAAGACTTGTCAGACAGAAGAAGGTGAGCGTCTCGTATCAAAGCCCGTTTGATACCAAGAACAATCTTTCTTGTTGGCTGTGAGAGGATGCTTTGTTGTAGAATTGCTTTTATGTCGGGGTCTTTTATCGATGTTACAAAGAGAGTTCACGGGTGTGTGAGGGCCCCTTTTATAAAGACTTTGAGAAAGGCACATGCTCCATATGCATAGCGCGGAGCCTGAGAACCAGATTCCATTGGCGTTCTTGAAGCTCACTCGCTGGGTGTATATTCACACAGCTCTTGGCCCCCCTGGCAGTGCAAAAGAGAGCAAAAGAGAGCAAAAGTGGGCTGATTATGACGGCACAATATCGGAA